TTAATGAACACTGATAAAAAAATCCTCAAAAAAAATGGCAACGAATTCAACAACACATTCAAAAGATTATTCACCACGACCAGTAGGCTTCATCCCAGGTGATAGGGTGGTTCAACATATGAAATCAATAAATGTAATTAACACCATTAACAGAAGCAAAGACAAAAACCACTTGATCATGCTCATAGATGCAGAAAAGCCTTTGATAAGATCCAACATCATTTCATGATAAAAGCTCTAAGAAACTAGGAATAGAAGGAAAGTCTCAACATTATAAAACTATATATGACAAACCTACAGCCAGCAATATACTTAATGTAGAAAACTGAAAACATTCCCTCTAAAATCAGGAACAGACAAGGATGCCCACTATCTCCACTCCTATTCAACATAGTACTGGAATTCTAGCCAGAGCAATTAGGCAAGAAGGAATAAAAGGAATACAAATAGGTAAAGAAACTGTAAAACATCCCTATTTGCAGATGACATGATCCTATACCTTAAAGACCCAAAAAACTCTATCAGAATTTCTAGCATCATCAATAGCTATAGCAAGGTAGCAGGATATAAATCAACATAGAAATCATTAGCATTTCTATACACTAATAATGACAAACTTGAAAAAGAATGTATGAAAACCAATTCCATTTACAATAGCTCAAAAAAATCAAATACCTAGGTGTAAACCAACAAAGATGTGAACGACCTCTACAAGGAAAACTATAACCTTCTGAAAAAGAGATTGAGGAAGATATAGAAAGTGAGAGATCTTCCAATGCTATGGATTGTAGAAACCAACATAGTAAAAATGTCAATACTCCCAAAGTAATCTACATGTTTAATGCAATTCCCATCAAAATTCCAATGACATTCATTAAGAGTGAAAAATCTACAGTGAAATTAATATGGAAACACAGAGGCCACGAATAGCCAACGCAATACTCAGTCAAAGAACAATGCTGGAGGTATCACAATACCTGACTTCAAACTATATTACAAAGCAATAACAATAAAACAGCATGGTACTGGCACAAAAAAGACATGAAGACCAGTGGAACAGAATAGAGGACCCAGATATGAAGCCCACAACTATAATCAACTTGTCTTTGACAAAGGTGCTAAAAATATACGATGGAGAAATAGCAGCCTCTTCAACAAAAACTGCTGGGAAAACTGGTTAGCAGTCGGCAAAAACTGAAACTAGATCATGTATATCACCCTATACCAAGATTAACTCAAAATGGATCAAGGTCTTAATATCAGACCCCAAACTCTAAAGTTGATACAGAAAGATGTAGGAAATACTCTGGAGTTAGTAGGATAGGTAAAACTTTCACAATGAAACCCCAGCAGCACAGCAACTAAAGATGCATGATGAATGGGACCTCATAAAACTACAAAAGCTTCTGTTCATCAAAAGAAATGGTCTCTAAACTGAAAGAACACCACAGAGTGGGAGAAATATTTGCCAGCTACACATCAAAGGACTGATAACCAGAATATATAGGGAACTTAAAACAGTAAATTCCCCAAAACTAATGAACCAATAAAGGAATGGGCAAGTGAACTAAAACAGAACTTTCTCAAAAGAAGAAATTAAAATGGCCAAAAAATACATGAAAAAATGCTCACCATCCCTCGCAATAAAGGAAATGCAAATTAAAACCACACTCAGATTCCACCTCACCTCTGTTAGAATAGCCATCATTAGCAACACCACCACCAACAGGTGTTGGCGAGGATGTGGGGAAAAAGGAACCTTCTTACACTGTTCATGGGAATGTAAACTAGTACAACCACTCTGGAATAAAATTTGGAGGCTACTTGAAAAGCTAAACATTGATCTACCATATGATCCAGCAATACCACTCTTGGGTTTATACCCAAAAGACTGTGACACAGGTTACTCCAGAGGCACCTGCACACCCATGTTTATTGCGGCACTATTCACAATAGCCAAGTTATGGAAACAGCCAAGATGCCCCACTACTGACAAATGGATCAAGAAAATGTGGTGTTTATACACAATGGAATTTTATGCAGCCATGAAGAAGAATGAAATGTTATCATTCGCTGGTAAATGGATGGAATTGGAGAACATCATTCTGAGTGAGGTTAGCCTGGCCCAAAAGACCAAAATCGTATGTTTCCCTCATGTGGACATTAGATCAAGGGCAAACACAACAAGGGGACTGGACTTTGATCACATGATAAAGCGAGAGCACACAAGGGGGTGAGGATAGGTAAGACACCTAAAAATTAGCTAGCATTTGTTGCCCTCAACACAGAGAAACTAAAGCAGATACCTTAAAAGCAACTGAGGCCAATGGAAAAGGGGACCAGGAACTAGAGAAAAGGTTGATCAAAAAGAATTAACCTAGAAGGTAACACACACGCACAGGAATTAATGTGAGTCAACTCCCTGTATAGCTATCCTTATCTCAACCAGCAAAAACCTTGTTCCTTCCTATTATTCTTATACTCTCTCTTAACAAAAAATTAGAGATAAGGGCAAAATAGTTTCTGCCGGGTATCGAGGGGAGTGGGGGGGAAAGGGGGTGGAGTGGGTGGTAAGGGAGGGGGTGGGGTTGGGGGGAGAAATAACCCAAATTTTGTATGCACATATGAATAATAAAACAATAAAAATTTAAAAAAACCCTGCAAAACATGGGAGTACATAATAGCTAAATAAACCAAGTGATACATATTACCGATGAAACACTCAATTTTATAAAATGTTAATTTTCCCCAAACTGAACAAAATTCTAGTTTTATTCACTTATTCAGTTGATTTCTTGTTTTCTACATTGTGCTAAGTGCCAGATAAAAATTGTGGTAGCATAATTTTGGAGACAAGCATGCAAACAAATATATGCAAGAATTTGCAATGTGCTGTCAAAATATTTTGTACAGTATACAGTAAGCACAAGAGAGGAAACAATTCTTCTAGGGCCTGGAGTGGTTGGACATATATAGGAGCTAACCCTTGAAATGAGTTTCAAAGAATAAGAAGGAAGAAAAGGAGAGAGAGGAAGGATTTAAAATATCTGTAGGTATTACTTTCCACAGGATTATTTCATTCTTGCTCACATTTTCTTTCAGGAGTATAGGTTTTACTGAATCAGGATAGCCAATGAGCCAGGGAAGTTAAAATTAATAAATATTAAAAGGGCCAGACTCAGACATTAGAACCAGAAAGTAAAAACTGAAAAACAGCAACAAGCTACCCCCTTTCATTACCCCTTTTTAGATGTTAAGTTATAAAAATAGAGAGATACAGAGGGACTATCTAAATCTGCCTTCCCTTTTGACATGGTAAGAAGCTATTCCAATAGAGACACAGAAAAATGAAAGGAAGTCCTACTTTCCCTATATTTTGGTAGGCCTAGATTATATCTCCATGTTTCAGTGTAGTAAATAGAACCCATCTTGGCCCCCAGAACACTGTCTAATGATGAGGGTGCTAGATGTCAATTTGATGATGAATATTTCCCCAGCTCAGAGCATGGAGAACCCACACAGGAGACACCATTTTTGAGCTTGTCTCCCACCCTTGTACTTTTATCAGGAGGTGCTTTTTTCTCTCTTTTTAAACTTCAAATAAAAAAAAAAAAATGGCTGGTGCAGTGGCTGAAGTGGTAGAGTGCCTGCCTAGCAAGCATGAGGCCCTGAGTTCAAACCCCAATATTACCAAAACAGAAAAAAAATACCCAAAATGTTTGGATGATAAGTAAACACCTGATTTGCATGCTTATTATGAAACAATACATGACAGTCAACATATTTTTGAAAAAGAACTAAAAACCTACAAAGACAACAAAATTCACTATTTCAGAAGTATAGTAATTAAAATGTACTGGGGTAAAACTGTAATAGTACACATAATAGGTAACTCAATGGAATAGAATAGAAAGTGATACCATAGATATGAGGATTTTTTTTTATTATGGTACAGATTGTATTTCAATATAAGTGCATTTACTTGTTGAATGCTTTTACTTATGTGTACTTAAGTTCATACTTAATTCTATAACCCAATGATAATCAGTGATATTTTAAGTAACCTTCTAAATTTTGTTGTATGCATAGGAGTAAATACACACGAATATACCCACACATATATAAGATCTTTATACTTTATGAAATACCTTCATGTCCACATATGTATCATATAGTATACATATATTATATATACTTAAGTGTACTTAACCAAAAGTATTAAACCTGTAAGTCATATAACAGAATGATCATTGTCTGAAGCAGACAATAGGATTTAACTCAATGCTATTAGTTCACTGAGTTATTTCACTCCTCTCAGTCTTGATGACTTTCTTCTTACATGATGGGTTTGAAATAAGGTGATTTCTATGACTTATAATCAAATTAATCAAGATGTGAGAATTTCAGAAGGAGAACAGCAAAGATGAACGATAATACCCAGGCCTAGGGCAGTACACAAGATGATAATGGTAGAGACAAGTATCAGATTTAACCAGCAAAAAACATAGGGCAAAAGAAATTAAAAGTAGTAGGATACTACAGATGAACTTAGTTACAGAATTAAGCTTCTTTAGACTCCTGAAGACACACCTGTATAGCAAGACACCACAAACTAGTCTCCTTCCAATCTTAGTAGGTTTACCAATCCTGAACATTGTACAACATACACAAACACTGACCATGTTTTATAAAATCTCTGTGCCCTGAATCAGTGTAATTCACGCCCATATAACTAAGGGTTTACCTGTGCCCATTTCTTCTCTAGGGTCTATGAGAAAGCTGAATATTATTTCAAAGATTAAAACTGAATTCTATGAAAATGTCTAATTTCTTTTACACAAGCAATGTTAATAGGGCAATGTTTACTGGTGCAATGTTAGAAATAGATTTCATTATTTATTTTTAAGAGTTTTTCTAATATTTCAAGAATGAAGATCAAATAAAAACTTCTAAAGTAGAAGTCTGTATGTCAATATTTAACCAAGTTTTAAAGCAAATACCTTGCAAATGGAAGATGCATCAACTTGGAATGTTTACTAATCCGTTTCTTCTTGCTAGCTGGCAGAACAAAAGAACTTTGATGGAACTAGTTTTGGAAAGAACAAAGAAATTAGAAAGAAACAGTTTCTAATCTCATAACATCATGTTTGTCATGTACCAAGTTATACAATGATACCAATATTAATGGAATAATTAAACTATGATATATTGTAAAAATTTTTGTAAATGTCACAATGTACCCCTGCATAACAATAAGTAAAAAAAAAAAATGGGAAAAATAAAGAACAATTCTTACATTATCCTTTAACAATTGAATAAGAATAATGTAAGATCTTTACACTTCTACACAAAACATTCATGTCTACATATGTACTATGTATGTATATTGTAATATATTAATATAATTATATACTATTAGATTTTACAATATATATTTAAAAGTTAAAGTCTAGGTAATTTTACATAGCCCTTATATATTTGTACATTTATACTTTCTAAATTTTCTGATACGAATGTGTTTATTAGGAAACTTTAAAAGACCAGAAAAATCAAACAATACCATGTTATGAAACATCTCTCCTTATAGAATGTTGTCAACAGAAGTTGAATGGGGAGCCTAACTTTGATCTTTAGTTGACAGTAGGCAGCACCTCCCCTTATCATCAGTGTGGGGTCAGAGGAGGTCTGCAAGAACAGAAGATTTAAAGAAGATCCAAAATCTCACAACAAACAGTACCTAAAATATCCAAGATATAACAGAAAATCACCCTTCATACCAGGATTCAGGAAAAGTTTATCCACAGACACCAATGTGGAGATGACACAAATGTTGGAAGAAGAATTTTAAAGCAACCATCATAAAAATGCTGTAACAATTATTACAATGCTTAAGACAAATGAAAAACTAAACTCAGCAAAGAAACAGAAAGTGAGCCTGGTACCAGTAGCCCACATGCAAATAGTTCACAAGATCCTATTCTCAAACAAACCCATTACACACACACACACACACACACACACACACACACACACACACACACACACACACACACAAAAGAAATATAAAGTGTTGGCAAATAAATAAAATTTGTAAAGAACCAAATGGAAATTTAGAATTGAAAAACACAGTAACAAAAAAAATCTAAAGGGCTAAACAACAAAAAGAGATGGCGGGGAAAAAAATCAGTGAACTTTAAGACAGAACAGTAACTCAAACTGAACAAGACAAAAGAGAATGAAAAAAATTAACAGAGTCAGGAATTTGTAGAGATATGATGAAAAGCACTCACTAGAGTCCCAAGTAGAAGAGAGGACAGGGCTGGAAAGATATCTGGAGAAATAATGCCTTAAAATGTCCCATGCTTGGCAAAGGCATCAGACCTGCAAACCCAAGAAGTTGAGTAAACCCCAAAAAAGATAAACCCAAATAAATTCATGCCAAAACACAACAAGGTCAAAAATGTAAAAACTGAAGACAAAGAAAAAAATCGAAAGCACTAAGAAAATTGCTCTTTCATACAGAGTTAAGAAAGAATTAAAAAAAAGAAGGGCTGGAGGCAAAGCTCAAGTGCTAGAATGCTTGCCTAGCAAGCATAGGCCCTGATTTCAAAGCCCAGTATCACCATAAAAACCTAATAAAAATAAATGAAATAAGCATTGATTCAAAGTTAGAAAAGTAACACATAAAATAAACCACAGAAAACCTGGACTTACAAAAATAAAACCAAAAATAGGTATGAAACACAAAAATAGAACTTAAAATTAAATTAAAAACTGATTCTTTTGCAAGAACAAAATAAAATACAAAAAACTGCAACAAACTAACATAGTTAAAAAGAAAAAAAAGACAGAGAAAAGCTCAAATACCCAAATTAGTTAGTTGTGGAAAAACAACACAAACAAAACTAGACAAATGACAGACTACTTTGGTCTATTCTATACAAATAAATTAAAAAACCTGGATAAAACAGATAATTTTCCAAGGAAAAATAATTTAATAAAACTGACCAAGAAGAAAGACATTTTCCTAAGTGGACCAATTTCTACAGAAAAATTAAAATTAAGGGGCAACTGTTTCTACCAAAAAAAGTCCAGATAGTTTCACAGAATTCTATTCAATGTTTAAAGAAAAACAATTTAAAACTATATCACCAAGGAAAAGAAAAACTTTCAAGTTCTTTTTGAGCTTAGTATATATAACATTTTTGTCAATGTTTAGAGACTGTAGAAAGAAAACTACAAAGAGAGCGCACTTATATGAATAACAGAAAATTCCTAAACAAAATTACTGGCATAATAACTCAGCAGCATAGTAAAAGAACAGTAAGTCATTTCTGAAGTTTATTCCAGAAATATAAAATTAGGAAAATTACTAAAACAAGAGATCATATTGAGACACCTATGAGCATTATCATGCTAGAAAGGCATTTTATATTATTTAGCACTCTTTTTATTTAAGAAGCTCAATAACAGGAGGATTACAGAACAAATATGTGCCTTGCTCTTAAAAATAAATAAATAAATAAATAAATAAATAAGCTGGTCATGGTGGCACAAGCCTGTACTCCTAGCTGAAGCAGGAGGATAGCTTGAGCCCAGGAGTTTGAGGTCAGTCTGAGAAAGAGAGTAAGAGCCTGTCTTAAAAAACAAAACATAAACCAACCAAACAAAAAAGACAACCCTCTTCCCACACAAAGCCTCCTTCTTAATGGGGAAACTAGCTGACACTTTATATTTATTGCATTCTATATGTTCTAGATATTATTTAGGAATAAATATCCCTGCATTCAAGAAGCTTATATTCTGATGGGATGAACAAAAAACAAAATTAATGAATAACATGTTACATAGTGTTAAAAGTATTAAAGCAGGGATTTAGGATAGGAAATGTAGGAGTGGAATTGGGAAATGTTTAAAGAAAGCTTCACTGATATGACCTTTGAGCCAACATTTGAGGGAAGGGAGTGAACTCATCACCAAAGGAAGAATAAGTACTCAGGCATTGTGGTATCAGCTTGTCTGTGTTTGAGGGAGGAAGCCATTGTACTGAAGTTGTTAACAGTACACTGAAAGGGAGAGTAGTAAATGAAATGAGAAAAATAACAAGACTCTGTGTTTTTGCATCAAGTCAGGCAAGAAATAAGAGAGGTCACAAGAGAGTTTTAGGCAGACACTAACATTTTAATAAGTTCACTATGGCTGCTATGCTCAGAAGAGTGTTCAGAGATGCAAGGGCAGAAGCAAAAAGCCCAAGTTAGGATGAAGGGTGAATGTAGTAGAAATATTATGTACTCATACAGAAATGGAAAAATGAGACCTGTTGAAGCTATTCTAGGAATGGCGGCGGTGGGTGGGGGTTAAGAAGAATGATTGGAGGGGGTAAACTCAATTATGATATATTATAAGAACTGTAAATTTCACAATGTACCCCCAGTATAACAATAATATGATAATTTTAAAGAATTCAGATAAGAAAGGGGGTTGTGAGAAGGACTGGCTAAAGGATCAGAGATAGGGCTGAGAAAAAAATTAGGAAAATACCTCAAATGAAGCCATCAAAAGGAATTGTTTGGTGGCAAATGTGAAATTTGAAATGCCTCTTAGATTCCCAACAGATGCCATGTAGGTAAGTTAGATATGTACACTCTGGAGTTAGGAGGAGAAGACCAGAATGGAGATGCAAATTTGGGAGTTATCAGTACATAGTAGTAATTAAAACCATGAGACCAGTGAAATTATTTATGGCGACTGAGTGTAGATAGAAAAGAAGTCCAAGAATTGAGTCTGGGGCACTCTCAAAACTTAGCAGTTGGAAATATAAAGAGGAACCAACAAACAAACTGAAAAAGAATAGTCAGAAAGGTGGGAAAAGACATAAGTCTTAAGATGATCAATATGAAGACCAAGAATTATCCATGGGTTTTTGCAACATTGACATCAATGGTGACCTTCAGAAGAGCAGTTTTAGTGGAGTAGTGGTAAAAACTCAACAGGGGTATCTCAAGAGAAACTGGAGACTGTGTGAACAACTTTCACAAAAAGTTTTGCTACAAAGGAAAACAATGAAGATAGTAGCTGAGAGTTAAGTGGAATTAGAGGTCATTTTCTATTTTTTAAGATGAGATATGGTAAGATTTTTACATATTGACTTAGGTATCTAAATTCAAAAAAGAACCTTATAAGTTACTTTCAGAAGTTTTTGAAAGAGAGATTTACAAAAATTTTAGAAAACATAGGAAAATACTCATGGGATAAAAAAATAACATTTATTGCACTCTTCTTATTGTTTGAATACATGGTAGCCACATTTACATCTTCTAATAACATTGGAGGTATAACCAGTATTCATGCCTTGCTGATAACTAGATAGAATTCAAAGAGCTTAAGTTCAAGGTCATAGAACTAGTAAAAATAACAGAGTTGGGATCTAAATAAAGGTAATCCCATTTAAAATCCACCCTCTAAAGCATTAAATTGACTCAGAAAATAAGGAATTTATCCAAAATTGAGACTTCACTAACCTTTCCTCATTTTATACATTATATATTTTTGCTTTTCATTATTTCTTCACAACACTATTTTTACTACTTATTCACCCTTCCTGATTTTTGTGCTGATCATCTTTTCTTAATGTCAGGTTCTAAGAGTTCTTTAACTATTATGAATATTAATGCTTTGTCTGCAATATGTTTAAATAATTTTCCCAGTTTGCTACTTATCTTCTATGTTTTGGCAGAACAGTGGGTAGAATTCATGGTCTCACGCTTGCTAGGCAGGCCTCTTAACATTTTAGCCATACTTCCTGCCCTTTTTGCTTTGGTTATTTTTGAGATAAGAGTCCAGCTTTATGCCTATGTCGCCCTGGACAGTGACCCTCCGTATTTTCACTTCCCACGTAGCTGGTAACAGTTGCATGTCACCATGCCCAGATTTTGTTGGTTGAGATGGGCGGGGCGAGAGGGGGTGTCTCATGAACTTTTTGCCTGGGCTGGTCTTGAACCTCCATTTTCCTGATCTCTGCTTCAGTAGTAGCTAGGATTATAAATTAAGTCACTGTGTTGGCTCTTTTATAACTTTAATTTTCTAAAAAAGTTTTCTTTATGGTTTCCATCTTTCCTTTCAGGTATAGAATGTCTAACTTGAATTTATTTTCCCCTCTTTTTTATTAGTATATATTAATTATACAGAGGTATATTTTCTTTTTTTTTAAATTTCCTTTTATATTTAAATCCCTGTAGAATTTATTTTAGGATCTGCCTCTATTTTCCCTTCCAAATAGCTTTTCAATTGTGCCATCTTTCTATTTTAAAATAATACAAATTCTTTCCTGACTTGAAACATTACCTTTCTTCTAAGTCATTATATTTCTGAGTCTGTTCAGGAGCCATTGTGTTTGAATGAGCTGTGTAATTCTATTACTTTTAATCAAAATCTGATTTTTATAGAGTAATTTCAATAACCAATTATGCAAAATGATTTGCTATTAGTTAAAATGGATATTATGATTATAATTTACTTGCACGAAGTTTGAAATATGAATTGCTAACCTTGATGCTATTTAATTATCTCAATTATCCTCAGAATTGCTAAAAAATTACACTACTCACACGTAAATTCACTTACCTCAGAAAGACTGCTCATTTCAATTGCGGTTATCAAGTTACTGTTCATGAGCGATTCTATTTCTATAAGTTTCTTATTCTGTAAGTGTAAAATAAAGACCTCTCTTAATCAGCTAAGATCTGGAGTTTAATACCATATAGTTATGAATACTATCAGTGTGAGAAGACTCAATTGTTCTATATTGAGAGGACATCGGCCTAAAAGGGTATGATTCTGAATAGTCCAAATAGCTGTACATACACACAGCCCACATTTTTTTGAGATATCAATTATAAATTTTCCTACATTTTTCTGTCTTCTTATAACAATGTATCATATGGCAAGCAAACATAGTTGGTCAGTCATAGGACTTTAACCTTCAAGTACGAAGAATATTTTTCTTTCTTTTTTTTTTTTGGTAGGACTGGGGTTTGAACTCAGGCATTCTACCACTTGAGCCATACTTCCAGTCCATTTTACTCTGGTTATTTTGGAGATAGAGTCTTGCAAACTATTTGTCTGGGCAGGATCCAAACACACACAAAAAAATACTCCCATCTCAACCTCCCAAGTAGCTCGGATAACAGGTGTAAGCCACTATTGCCCATCCAGTTTTCCACTTTAATTTCTACTCATTTGAGATTTAGATCTATCATTGCAGCTTAGCTAATCACAAGCTCTCACTGTCTGTCACAGTGTTGGAAGTGGGAAGGAAAAGCAAGGACTATAACCTTCATACTATCTGGTTTGTGGCCAGTGAAATGCTAAGAACAACAGAGAATACAAACATTCTGGGGCCTGCCCTCTTCCAGTTCACTGGAGGAATTATGCTCATCTTTTAAAATGTAGTAATACACTATGCTTTGCTTACCACAAGCAATCAAATGTCAGTCCTGGTTTAATATGGCTTCCAGAGTACACAAACACAAATTTAGACTTAGACTTAAGACATTTATTTTTATTACTCAGTAGATGTTTGTCATTTAATAGATTTATATGGCATATTGACTTTCAAAAATTCTTTACAACAATTAGATATCTGAAAAAGTTAGAACTTCCATAATAATAATGTAGTTAAGATTTTAGTTATAAATTAGAATTTAAAACAATATAACTTCCATACCAAGTTATTTAGCTTTAGGCGAAGAAAAGTATTATCAAAATTCAGTTTCTCCACTTCTTTTTGCAATAGCATCTTTTCAGTTGTAATTCTTCGAGAATTCTCTTTCTCTCTACTAAGAGCTTGAGCTAATGCTCTGTTGTTGTGCTTTAGAGAGATTTTGAAAACAGAAGAATTGTCTGTAAAAAGATTTTTAAAAGAGTTAATATTGAATTTTTACTTTAATAAATTTTCATATTCCTTAGTAAAAGTATTTTAGACAAAATGCATTTCACTTTGTAAGTATTAACTGAAGGTTAGAAGAGAATGATAAGACAGGTGCAGTTTTAAAAAAATGTACCCAGAGTTTGAAGCTGATAAAACAAAGCTAGATCAAAGATGAAGAAAACAGTTGTGAGGAATGCAGAAGTATATAAACAAAAGTTGGCAGTCAGAGAACTGTAATACAGCCTCAGCATTCTGGATAGCTAGATCAGTCACAAAAATGAACTCTGATATTTCTCTACTTTCCTTCCTAGCTTTGGATAGAAGGCAGAATGGAAGAGCTGATCTTGCTGCTCTAACCGGGGATATCCCACAGAAGTTAGTGGGGCCAATTTGAAAATTTTAAAGCCAGTTTTGTGAGTCCAGAACTGAGTAAAATAGTTTATGTTACTAAAGTCCATTTTTTAAACTTCAAGTGAAAGAAGGTAATGTTGGACTGACTTACTGTAATGTTGGAAAGATCATCCAATTCCTGAGAGACCTTCTACCTCTATCCAAAGAATCCTATCTCCTATTCCTAGGCATCTACTCCAATCTAAACTTGATCTTAAAACTCTCTTTAAAAGTAGTATGTAAATATGATTTAAATCACTATTCAAATGCTATCCTGTTGGTAGCAAAAACATTTCAGTCTGAATTCTTTGGTTGAGGTCACCTTAAATATAGTAAGTTCCCATAGTATGTTCAACACATAATTATTTTTTCATAATTTGGCTTCAGATATGACTACATGTCAGTAACATATTACACTGGTAAAAATACAGTGTATGAAAAAATTTTATTTTTTGAGATACGGTCTAGCTATGTAGCTCCATGGTATCCTTAAAATCATGATCCTCTTGCCTTAGTCTCCTGAGTACTGAGATTACAGATATGAGCCACCACACTCAGCTAAATGTTATAAAATATAATAATACTTTTAGCTATTCAGAGAAAGTTGGGGCATCTAAAAAAAAAAAGCACTTTATCACTGGCACAGAGTAGTTTCAGACAGCTCTTCTTGGCACAGATAATAGCAACAGACTAGAACCAATAAATTTCCAGAAACTAAGTGGTAATAACATTTTCTTATTGTACTTCTCAAATCCAGCATATTCCTCAATGGTCCGACCAAAGACAGTAGGAGACAGCCACTGTGAAAGGGGGGCTAATATATAAAATGGCCTGTGAGACGTAGGTAGGTACAACATCATGACTTAAAAAGATTTTCAGGAGGCTTGGCTATTTCTTAAGGCAAAGGAGCTACATCAGCAGTAAATGGGACTAAAAGTATCTCCCACTCCAGCTAAGATAGGTATAAATCATTGAGATAATTTGCATAAGTGATGGAAATTTATCTTGGAGAATGTCCCCATTTCTTTTTTTTTTTTTTGCCTTTGTGGCACCTTTCCTCCAGAATTTCTGAAATCCCATTTCCAAATGTTTATTGCTTTCCTGGTGAGCTTTGGCTATGTGCAATAACTATAGCACCTTATCTCTGTTAACTACCTCTTGATTGCCCATAGTCACAGCATGCCAGAACAATCTGTTACTCCTTTTAGCTCTGTCCCAGAAAACTCACATTGGTATTTTATTTGCAGGGTAAGAGGTAGCTGCCTTGGGCCACCCAATCCCACTGTTGAAAAATCAGGTATCACCACTGAGGGCAAATCATCAAAACTACTCATCTAATAGGAGTTGAAAAATATGGGAAGGATCAAATGAAAAAAAAATTATCAGCTAACAAAGTAGTCATTTTAGTAATTTTCTATACTTGATCAAATAAGGTGGCAAATATATCAATCCTCCAAGAAAAAGTAAAAATGTGAGCATGCCTTAAAACTAATGGCACTTACTTATTATTTTTGTTTTGATTTTTGAAGCAAGAGAAACATTCAACTTAGTCTTTGAAATCCTTCTGTCTCGCACACGTCTTTTAATTCCTGAGGTGACTGAGTCAGCTTCCATCACTGGGTACTCCATCACTGAGGTGAGAGGAAAAGAAGGGGAATTGCTATATTGACTAATAAAAGTAAAATGGTAACTGACAAAAATCTATTCTAAAAAGTGATAATCATGACTTGAAATATACATGTTTGTACCTAAGTATTTGTAAAAACCTTTGTACAAAGTTTGAAAGTATGAATGTAATCAAAAGCAACTTAAGGTAGAATCCAAAAAAGATAAATGACTATTTCTTCATACCAGGTATTTCTTAATACCAGGTATTTAGCTAGGTACCAGGCACAGGGGACAGGACAAGTTCCCTGATCCCCATGTGCATATAGACATTGTTTTGATATAATGTAAAAAATGTAACCTTAGAGATGAACATGGGGTTTAATGGAAGCACAGAGATGTTTAACTCAGGGAGGCAAGGTACATTAGAGGAACAGGCAGAGAAATTTAAAGTTGTCTATTTATCTATTAGATTTACATTCTATAAGACCTTAAGGTCTAATAGCAGAAACAGGAAGATAAATAACATATTACATTCTACTCTGGCAAGAATAATGACTATAATACACAACACACAGGAGAAGTGGTTAATTCTGGCTGGGCGAAGGAAAAGGATCAGAAAAAGTTTCACTGAGAAGGTACAGTTGCTGTTGAGCCATGTGCTTGGACAAAAACAACCTCCCAAGCTTCCACATTTTCTCCTCAAGCCTCCCTGCCTCCATCAGCAGATACCTAGAAAAATCCTATCACCTGTACTGCCTACCCTCACTCAATACTTAGTCTCTCCACTGCACCTTGACTGCAGGACTATCTCACTATGTTCCTTATGTTTATTTTAAGAATCCCTAGACTACTGGGTCACCTTCATCTCCCTTACTCTAATCCCCCTCCAGCTCTGCACATTCCTCATTTGGTCCTGTGATAGACTGGAAAATGACCCCCCCTCTCCTCAAAGATATCAGGTCCCTATAACTCTAAACCTATGTGGTTAAAGAGTCTACAGATTTGATTAAGTTGAGAATCATGTGATGTGGAGATTATTCTGGATTATCCAGGTAGACCCTAATATCATCACACATGTCCTTACAGAGGGCAGATTTTTCCAGCCTACAAGCTCTCTTCTGGGGTGCGTCTCTTTGTCTGCACTATCTCATAGTCTCGTGGCTTAAATGCCACCCAAATGCCAAAACCTCCAAAATTTGTGTCTTTAGTTTGGATTCTTTACTGAGCTTCCCTGGACTCAAACAGCCAACTGACTATTCCATAATCCACTTGGATAAATAGGTGTATCAAATTTAACCTGCCCAAACTTGCTTCACCAAGAGCCTTCTCCATTTCAATGAATGGCAACACCATCCTTCCAGTTTCTCATGCCAAAACTCTGACATTCCAATTCATCAGCACAGTATATATATATATCACATCTTAGAATGTCCACTACTACCAATCTAGTCCAAAGTACTATCTGTCATGTCTCACCTGAATTTTTGCAACAGTCTCTTATCCCCCTATTTCCAATGCTGCCCTCTCCACAATAGATTAGCATATACAATCTAAAACTCTCTAATGCTGGGTGCAGTGGGTCATGCCTATAGTCTCAGCTGCTCTGGAGGTGGAGATTGGGAAGATCTCGGTTCAAGGACAACCTGGGAAAAAGTTAGCAAGACTCCATCTCAACAAAGAAGTCAAGCATGGAGGTGTACATCTATAATCCCAATCATGAGTCAGCCATAGGTAGGACAATTATGATCCCAGGCCAGCCTTGAGCAAAATTTGAGACCCTATCTGAAAAATAACCAAAAAGCAAAAAAGGGCTGGAAATGTGGTTCAAGTGGTACACAGCACCTGTCTAGCAAGCATGAGGCCTTGCGTTCAAACCCCAATACAGAAAAAACAAAACAAAAACCTCTCCAGTGGCCCCTACTTCTCTCTGAAGTCCTTATGGTGGTCTAGAAGTCACACCACCTTCCCATCATTCTAATTTAAACTCTTTTTTCTCTCCTCCTAACTCATTCCTGTCATGTCACACTGGTCACCAAGATCTAAATATTCCTGGCATATGCCAGGTACTCTTCAGCCACAGGTCCTTTGTGCTGGTTATTCTCTGTTTATTTATTTATTGGTGGTAAGGGAGTTTGAACTCAGGGCCTCTGCTTGCTAGGCAGGCACTCTATCACTTAAGTCATACACCCAGACTTTTTTTGCTTTTTAGGTATTTTTCCAAAAGGGTCTCATGTTTTTGCTGGAGTCAGCCTAGACCTCAACACTCCTCTTTATGCTTCCTGTCTAGCTGAGATGACAAGTGCATGTCATTATACTAGCTTTTATTGGTTGAGATGGGGTCTCACTAACCTTTTGCCCAGGCTGGCATTGAACCACAATCCTTAGAGTAGCTAGGATTACAGGTGTGAGCCACCACACCTTTAGAAAGTCCTTTCACCCAGAGACTCATTCATTCTCTTCAAGTGTTTGGTCAAAAGTCAACTTTTTAGTGAGGCCATTTAAAATTCCAACTCCCTCCTCTAGTGTTTTACCATTCTTACCCTTCTCAACTTTTCCCATAGCTTTAAATTACTACCTAACATGCTGTAGAACTTAATTTATTGAATTTAAGTTTCATGAGGTCATAGATTTTTTTTTATTACTATTCATTGATATGGTCTCAGCTCACAGAACAGTACTTGGTGAATTATGTAAACTCAGTAAATAATGACTGAATAAAAAGTAAGCCTACAAACTAAAAACTTGTTAGTCATAAGATTAGGGAATTGCAGGAAGAAGGAATGGCATATGTAAATGCCTGGAAACAGAACCTCGAAGAAAACAGAAGTGGTTCCTTGATGCCAGATAGTGTTAGCCTACTTTTCTACTTCTTTTTACATTGAAACTCCTTTAAAGAGTTATTTCTACTTGCTGTCCCCAATGCATTTCCTCCCTGTTTCAGTTGATCCATACAATGAAGTTTTTTTTTTAAATTGCACCACTATTGTATTGACTCTCACGTAATGTTGTTAAATCAAATACAGTGGTCAAGGCCCAGTTCTCATTGTACTTGATCTATGAGCAGCATTTAATATCAGATGCCCTCCATTTGAAAGTTTCTTCACTTGGCTTCCAAAACAGCAATTCTTCTGGGTTTTCTCTTGCCTACTGGTCACTCCTCAGTCTCTTTTTATGGCTATTCTTCATCCCTCTAACTTCTTACCACTAAGTGTCAGAGATCTCAACCCTTGGGCCTCATCTCTTATCTACAGATTTTCCCTGAGCTATCATTCAGTGTGCTGACCTTTAAATATAAATGCTGGTGATTCTCAAATTTATATTCCTAATCTAGATTTATCCCTTGAACTTCAGATTAATTCATCTGCCTGCTCCTTTCCTCCAACTTAAATGTCTACTGTGCATCTTAAATTTAACATGTCCTAAATTCTGTCCACCCTAAACCTGCCCTACCATGTTCTCCCCAACTCACTAAATGGCAGTTCCATCCTTCCAGTTGCTCAGGTCAGAAACTTTTCTCTCATATACATATCCACTCTATCATCAATCCTGCTTTCACAATATATCTACATGGGCCACTTAGTACTCTGATCCAAGATGGCATTCCCTCTTATATACATTATTGCTGTAGCCTCACAAATGGTGGTACTGCTGCTACCTTCTTTCTCCCTCACTATTCTCAAACCAGCAACCATAATGATCATTTTGAATTCAAGTAAATTCATATAACTCCCATGTTAAAAACCTTCTAGTGGACTTCCATCTCAATCAATCTTTACAATGGCCTATAAAGTAGTAACATAATTTGGCACTTCTCCCCTTTCCCAATTCCCCATCAGTGCATCTTTCTGACTTCCTCACTGAGCTCCTACCATAGTGGCCACTTTTGACATACTCCCAGTGCAGGAGCTTTGCATTTCTTTTATTCCTTTGTACCAATTCTTTCTTCAAATAATCACAGTGCTTGTTTACTTCCTCCAAGTCTTTACTCAAATGTCACTTTCTTAATGAACCTTTCCAGTTCAAAGTACTTAAAATTATACAGTTGTTCTATTCCTGTTTTATTTTTCCCTATTGATCAATGCCTGACAACAACAAAAAAATAAATAATTTTCTTACTTAACTTATTGTCTGTTTTCTCCTACTGAAATGGAAGTTCAGTGGGGTCATGGATTTTTGTCAAGTTTTTTTGCTGCTGAACTCTGTGTCTAGAACAATGCCTGGTAAATAGCATCTCCCAGATAAACATTCTTGGAAGACCTGACTATGGATGAGTGGAAGAACTTTCCAATAGTAAAAATTGGCCAATATTGGAATTGGTCACCTTTGAAAGCACTGAGCAGATGTTGGGAGGTGCCATGCAAATAATGGGAAGATGGTTTTAGGAATTTCTGCAATGAGGAAGGTACTGAACGAGAACCTTTCAACATTAAGGCTTAATGTTTCTTCTAAGTTTTGCCAAAAAGAAATTTTAAGATCAAAGATCATGACCCATAGGCAGTGAACATAAGAACACACAGAAACTCCACACAAATTGATGTCACACACCTGAAAGGGAATCATTTCTCAAAAACTCAAGTCAGGAAAAATCAAATTTCATTTTACTAGTTAGGAAACCACAGCTGAACTGTCCCTCCCTCCTCCAACTGCTGATTCTTACAGTTCCTTTATTTAAAAAATGGCACCATCCAAATGCTTGAGCTAGAAATCAACGTTGTCCTTAACGCTGCCTTGTCACCTGCACATCAATGACTTCACCAAATGGCGCTATAGGAGCCAGACCCAGACCCATGGAATATGTTTCCAGGCTGAGTTATAACCATACAGACACATAAGCTTAAAGATAGTGTTCTGTGATAGAGCCCTAGTCAACATTTCATAGCTATCTGATTTTAACATCTCAACTTCCAGGTTTATGAAATTATAGAAAATAAGAGCATCTTCTTGTAGGGACTGAGCCAATGTAAGTACAATATACAATGTATGGGATCTAGTACACAGCATTCAATATCACCCATTCACAT